GAATACAACTTTTTAGTATTATAGTTGTTTGTTTAATGGTAAATTTACAGTTACAACTTTTAAAAGTCGCTTTTCATGTTGTTTGAATTGTCTAGAATCCTTCACGACGGCAGACAGAGGGCAGACAGTACCCCCAAAATGGCGGATTTTGGTCCTCGTGAGAAAGGCTAATAATATTACCTGCCATTCAAATAAAAATAAATTAAAGTTGTCTAACATTATAAATAATTCAAACTTTAATTAAAAACAGTTAATTAAAAATTATTATTATTAGGCCACATAAAATAAATTCCTTGATTCTCATCACCGCCCGACTGTATTTTAAGAGCCGCGTAAAATTTTTTTATATTTTGTTATACAATATTAAGCCTGGTTCACATATGCCTGCGGTATGCCTGCGACTGTATCATTATGCCTCTACTTGCCGCCGAAATACCGGCGAAGTTGAACTCAAGTCAACTTTCCCGGCCTACCGCCGATGTAACTGTGGCACTGGAGGCAATCGGCGAACAAATATTCACATAATTTACGTTTTAAGCTACCACCGGCATCGTCGCCGGTACGTCGCAGGCATGTCGTAGGCATATATGTGAACCAGGCTTAAATGAACCGCCCGACAAAATATTTCAAGACAGTTAAGTTTTTTATATTTAAAATTGGGTTTTTAGTGCCATTTTAAACTGCCAATTCAAACAAATAGAACCTTGAAAGAAATTTCATTGCATTTTAACGGAACTTCGCATTCAGTTCAAGGGTTCAGTCATTGTTCGTGGAGAAATATGTTCATTTTGGTTTGTGTCACTTCACTTTGGAAATCACAGAAATATTAAATGTTAGGAATTATTTTTTTATTTATTGATGATAAATGATATAAATATAAAATATAAAATATAAACCTCCCGGCTCTTCGACATTTTCAAAGTCTAGTGATGAGAATCAAGGAATTTATTTTATGTGGCCTTAATTGTGATCTATTAATAGTAGATCGGATATAGCTTCCATAGGTAGGCCTATCAAAAGTGAAGCCAAATTATATATGCGAAAATCACTTCCAGGGACCACGGAGTGATACAAATTTATACTATAGAAATGTGTGACGAACAACGTGAACCAAGGCGAAGTTTTACCAAGCTGATCGCTCCACCGTGGATAAAAGATGTTACGTTAATGCTTTTAGTAAAACGAAAATTATCCAGATTGCCCTAAAATATTGTCATTGTTGTTCGTTCAAAGTTGTCCATGCGGGAATAATATTTTATTGCCACAGACCACAGACACAGTGGTATGACAACACAATTTCTAGTTTGCTTTCCAATTACGGAGGCAGAATATAATCTACTATACTCAAACATACGGTATGTTTAACTTTGATCGACCAGGGGGTTTCAAACTCTCAATTATCCATCTTGCTAAACCTTTTTACAAAATATATATACATGTCTTAGACTTAGTTCTATAAAGATATGTACTAAATATATTTGTGCTTTTAGTACTTGTTTTTATTTGTTAATCTATTAGACTGGAAGGCAACCTTAATAAAGCTTTCTAGCCTTTCTGCAGAGTGAATCTACTTTTATATTGCAGTTGAATTTTGAACTTTCAGTTGCAGGGTACTAGTATTTATTGTTTTAGTGCAGTGAATCCAGAGGCCGAGTGTATTGTTCATTAATTTTGATAGCCTGCGCAGGCATCGCCTTTAGATTATCGGGCAAAATTTGCTTGCAGGAAAAAAAATTGTAGCGGCGATGCCAGCCAAACCCCGAAGACTTTGGACCAGCTATGTTACCCCCACCCTCATGGAATTTATTTGTTCATATCAAAACTACTACAAAATGTCAAAAGCTGTTAGTGTTACCCTACTCCCATAGGATACGATCTCTTTATATTCAGACTATATATCCTTATTCTGTGATTCAGACACAATTCGAAAAAATATCGATCGAGAATATCATTTTTATGTTGCAAATTGTTACAAATATAAATGAAAATTTGATCATATACTATAACATGTTAATAACATGTAATATTATAATTATTATTTTGTACCTGGTGTGAATTGGATTGTACAATCCAGCAGTTAAACAATAACATGGTAGATGATTATAATATATTGCAACCATTCAATTTATGTTTGGTCTGTATAGCCTACATACATATAACATCAAACATAAATACTTTTGGAGTTTTGAGAAACGGAATACTCTAAAAGGCAGATGAAGTGGTAAATGTCGAAATTCAACTGGATAATCGATGCTCTTGCCTGTTGGAATTGTCGATTACTGTTATATAATTTAGTGGAAGTGCATGTCATTGAAACTGGTTTGTCTACACAATTTTGAGATATTTCAGCAAAGAACAAACTAATTCAAATTTACAATCCCATGTTACTCGTTAGCGAGAAAAATATTACTATATATAATAATAATATATATCATGTATATATTTAAAATACTCATTAATAATTCATAAACCTTGTGGCAAATCATGCCAGCCATAATATGCCACGTGGAGTAACTTTATAACTGATAAAACTCATCTTCATTAGTATTCTTTATATAATTGTTCATCCTAATTAGTATGATTAAATAATTGTTCATCCTAATTAGTATTCTTTTGTAGTCGTATTTTACGCTATTCAAACACTCGTGTCGTGTTTTATCAGACATAAAACACTCGCCTGCGCCTCGCGTTTTATATCTAATAAAACACTCCCACTCGTGTTTTAAATAGTACATAGTATATTAATAATAATACTAATAATTATTATTATTATTAATAATAATATATATTATATATATTATTATATGGCTTTGCAGAATAAACAAATATCATATAAACTGGGTTTATAAACATTTTTCTGGGGGGGGGGTCTTAAAGTATAGAAACTAGTCTGGGGGTCTTAAAGTATAGAAACTAGTCTTAAAGAGTCATATTCGATACTTCAATTTAAGAAGAAATATAGTCAAATCTTATTAATTTCACAATAGTATTACAAAATCTCTTTTTCTAAGGCCAGGATGACACATGGTCTGTGACATTTATATATTTTTTTTGAATTTATTACAAACTGTAGGCAGTGCCCAACTCGAAAGCTTCCAGCTACTTTGGACACTGCACAAGACTCACTTTCTGTAGAAATTCACTTTTTCTTCATTATATATATAATTATATTATTATGTAAATTTAATGTAATATGTCAATTGTAAGCTTGTTTTCTCAATAATCTGTAAATCTGTAAATCTGTTACCGAAAAAGTTCTAAAGCGATTGTTAAACATGCTTTTCCGTAAACATTATATCATATCATCTGTATTATATCATTAGAATAATATGTTATGCTCAAGATTATTCTACATTACTGCATGGTATTAACCAGCCTGCCATCCAGCTGACTAAAAGTAAAATTTTAAACAGCCATTGAAAATTGCCAAAGACCATGTCTTTACACCATCAAAAGAGATTCACCTCCATGTAAATAATAACCTACTGTTAAGGCCATGTTACACAATTGGGCAGTATTTGCTGCAACTTGCAATGCAATTTCTAATAAAAAGCCATGTGATTTAAAAAATAAGTCACAGGGAAATAGACAATTCCCATTGCAGACTAATTTTAAAACTATATACGCAAGGAGATGCAAATAAATAACCACAGCTAGAAAGAGCATATTATAACGAGTAAAACTGCAAGGTTTGGTTGCAAAATGTTGTAAAATGCGGAAATATATAGGCTTGCAAAATTTGCTAATTTTGTATACTCTTGTATTGCGTGCGGAAATTGCTACCATTTTCGTCCCAAATGTGGTAGCAATTTCCACGCGTAATACAAAAGTACACAAAATTTGCAAACTTTGCAAGGCTATATTTTCCGCATTTTACAACATTTCGCAACCAAACTTTGCAATTTCACTAACTTTAGCATGCTCTTTCCGGGAATATACTTTTTTGTGCCAAGATAAAAAATTAGTCTATACTGATGGGAAATTGGGAATTGTCTATTGTGAGCATGGCCCACAGTTTACACTACCTATATTTATTACCCCATTTCCTTCACTTTTCATCCATTAAGAAGCAGTGGCGTAGGTTATGCACTGCTAACGACCATTATGCATTGCTAATGACCACATAATGGTCAATTTACACAATGGTTGATAATTACACAGTTGAGAAATGAGTCACAGTCTCAAACATTTTGACGAAATAACATCTCTATTTTCGGCAAGTTATCCTTTCGGTAAACTGTCCGTTCGGCAAAACGTCCGTCGGCAAAATGTCCGTTCGGCAAAGTGTCTTTCGGCAAAATGTCTTTCGGCAAAGTGTCTTTCGGCAAAATGTCCGGGTACCGGGGCCCATATTCATATATTCGTGTTCACATACCATAAAAACAATTGATTTCAAAAGAAATTAATAAAGCAGAACACGAATATATGAATATGCCCCCCCCTCCCCCCCATTATCGTTCTGGCTACGCCACTGTTAAGAAGAACAGAATGTGGGGCATGTTCAACTCTGTCACTATTTTATCTGGCAGATTATGACATGATTGATCAATGTTGTCATTGACAAAGGTTGCTTGTCCATGTGTTTAAATGTGGTACAGCCCTGAAGCTGCAAATTGTACAAAGTAAACTATCAAGCGGTAATGGGTTTATTTTCAACATACTGATGAATAACATGTTTGCTCCATATCCTCAGACAAAGTTGGATCACACAATTAGTATATAGGCAATCACATGGGAAGGAGTGCAATTAATGATTAACACTACTCGTGATATTTGAAAAATGTGCCAAATTGCACTCGCCTCAATCGCTTTCTTTATATTTCAACTGCATTTTGTCAAGAGTTTTTAATTCTTTTGTAAGCAATTTGGTATAAACAAACTTGGGAAATAATTAAACTCATAAAGGCACATAACTTAAACAAGAACACAAGATTCAAACTCAAATAACATATTTTAGACTAAGAAAATCTTTATAAATTGTATTTCAAACTTTATACATAGTCACGTTTCGCTGCATCCCGCCAAGATTATTTCTTAAGACTCTTTCCAGGTATTTTTCACAGGCTCTTTTTGCCATACAATGTTTCTTAAACTCATTCTTTTGCCAAAATTCAGTTAAATTCGTCCACATTTGTTAGAAATACTTATCTAAATTTTGCCGCCATATTGAATTTTGTTGTTTTGATTTCCCGCTCCCCCCAGCCATCACGAAAATCATTAATTGCACTCCTGGAGAGTGCAATTAATGAAATAATTGCACTCCTCTTAACCAATCAAATTGCAGTAATTTTGTCATGTATATAATAAGTAGGTATAAAGTTACAAAATAATCATGAAATTGAAGTGGGGGTTGGGATTTGCTGCATTTGGAAGCAAATGAGGTGGGTGATTATGCATGTACAAGCACCTTTATACCTGTAAGTAGTCTTCATCTCAGATATGCAAAATACACCTAGTTTCTTGCATGAAAACTCTGACAATTCAACATGTTTATTTGGATTAAAAAATATATTATAATCATGTTGTTGTTTAACTGCTGGATTGTACAATCCAATTCACACTAGGTATTAAATCCGTCTTAATGTAGTAAGTGCACCCAACTAATTTCAGACAGTGGCTTTAGCCTGATTGGCGTACTCGGCCAATTTGACAACCAAAAACCAGACCAAGCCTTTTTCACTCAAATCAATCTGGCTCTTTGCCTATTTTAACACTGTCACTGGGTTCACAATTATTCTGTACTGTTACATTTCTCAGTTATTAAAATTTACATCCTGTGTAGGACAATTTTGTTCTGCTTCTGACAACCATGAGCTGCCCTAATTGTATACTATTAACAACACTATCATGTAAATACACAAGTTGTGTGTTCATGTAATAGAACATAACAAACTGTACATAATAAATTGTACTATTTTAAATAATTATGCCTGCCAAACGTTAACAATTATTTAAAACACAAAACAACTAATTCATCAAAACAATATTAGCTATATGAAATTAAATGCATTTCATTGTGATATTAACACAAAGTCTACCTTCTATACTTCTACTTTATTACTCTTCAACACGTTAGTATCAAGAAGAGATAACAAAAATTAATAAATAAATTAAAGACCATGTCAAGTCCGTTCTGCGCATCAGTACATCAGTTCCGCTCATATAACAAAGGAGGACCCACAGAAATAAACATTGCCCAAATTTTGCATCTTTCGAACAAATTAAATTGAATTGAAACGTACTCTAATTTATATTCACTTACAATAGCGAACCAGAAAAGTGTTAGATATTCAGTTAGTATGTCTTATTTTACAAATATAGCAGTTCAATATGTAAACAAAGGATTTGTTTACATTACGGACTTGACATGGTCTTAAGAAAACTGATTATTAAATTAATTTCAGACGTGGAACTCTTCTCCTTTCGTCGTACTTGAACGGTCGTCAATACTGCGGACACTGAACGACACAGCCACAGGGTAAAAGAAGTAAAAGGCTGACCACTTTATATCAGATATACTCTCCGACATCGAGTCCAGCTGAGTCCAATATCTGTCCTCAGAATCGTTGCAGAGCAATAAATTTCAGATCACCCTAATAGTATTAGCGTTCCTCTTTCGAAAGAACATGGTTTGTTCACCATTTGGGCAATTCCCGTGACACACAAAGAACTTTGTATACTGGCAAAACTCAAAATTCCATTTTCGACAGAAGCGTTCAGTACATGATCGTTGCCATGAGAGCAGCTCAACAAATAATTCTGAGGCCTTTTATACGCTACAATTTCCAAAATATCAATAAAAACATGAAATGTCCACAAAGCTTCGTAAATTACATATCAAAATGTCGCCAATGACGAGATAAACACGAATATAACAGTTACATTTACAAATGATAACGAACGGACAAGAAAACAACGGCCAAAGACCACTAGACTTCACTTACTATACTACATTGACATTGACCCTTAATACTAGCAACGTGTATGTTTCAACGGAAAAGCGCTTTAATTTCCGGTAATTCCGTAATTGTCGAAACGCTATTTCGAAATCCGTAGTATTTATTTATTGTAATATTTAGCTTTTGACAATCGTACGAATCTTTTTAAAATATTGAACTTGACTGCATTCAATCGCGTGTCTTATTTATATTTATATCGTGTTTTTATCGTTTTGCTCCCTCATTCTAGTCCAGCCTCCCCCCCTGATTGAGTGTTTCCTAACGAGGAGGCCAGGTTGCTGAGCCGCTCTCGTGGCAACGATCATGGGGCGCTTTCCATTAACACGGCCAGACCGGTCAGAACGGTCAAATTGTTGAATGGAACACAAACCATTTGGGCTTCCGACCTATCTGACCGGAAAATTTAGATAACATTAGAATGAGATCCATTTTCGCTAGATATTTGAGAAACATAGACCAGATCTTTCCATTGATAGAGAGAAAAGTATTCGGGTCTGACCGATCAGGCCATTAAATGGAAAGCGTCCATGTAGTGAACGCTTCTGTCGAAAATGGAATTTTGAGTTTTGTATAACAAAGTTATTTGTGTGTCACGGGAATTGCCCAAATGGTGAACAAACCATGTTCTTCGAAAGAAGAACGTTGATAATATTTTGCGATGTGAAATTTATTGCTCTGCAACGATTCTGAGGAAAGATATTGGACTCTGTGTCGGAGAGTATATCTGATAAGTGGTCAGCTTTGGCTTCTTTTACCCTGCAGTGTCGTTCAGTGTTAGTATTGACGACCGTTCAAGTACGCATCAACTAGACTCAGAAACACAACAAATACATTCAGTATTAAAAAGTTAGATAATTTTTTAATTATCTCGTTAAATATTATAACGAGATCTTCAAGACTTTCAAAAAAAAGTTTTAAAAAAGTTTTAAAAGAGTTTTAAAGAAGAAAAAAAAAGTTTAAAAAGTTACATTTTCAAGAGTTAAAAATAGGTACGCAGTGCGTACATGTTGCATGCCATCTGAAACTTTAATATGATGCGCTATAGCGCTTATAACCTTTGGTACAACTTAAAATATCGATTCAATAAGTTTAAAATCAATATATTTATTGAAAAATGGCTATTATGTCAAAATAAGAAAACTTAAGATTCTTACGCGAATTAGCCTACGGTGTAGACCCCAGCAGAAACACGCGAATAGGCAATGTTTTTTTTTTATAAGCGATCGTTATTACATAGTTAGTTGCAAGCGACGGTAATAATAACATTAACAAGGCCAAGGTGGGTCAAGGTTTTATCGAAAGCGATTGACTGTTAGATTTCCTTTACAAATTTATAACTAAATAACGTTATTTCCTTTAGATTTATTGTAACTTTTTAAAGGTATAAAAAACCGTGGAAACTGTGAATTACTATAATAGATTGAAAATGATAATTATTTGTCATTTTGACGTTTGAGTGATTGGAATGACTTAATTTACACTATATCGAATGTCATGTTGAATGTCATGTTGAATCTTATGCGTACTTCACAATGGTTGCTATTTCGTTGTATTCAATTTCAATAGTATTACTATTTAAAACATGAGCAGCAGTGTTTTATCAGAAATAAAGATGGTCTGATAAAAGATGCACTGCGAATGTTTTAATTCTAGTAAGTTCATTGGCGAAGTAACTTTCAAAAAATTCGTTGTGTATGTCGAGAAAATCAAAGTTAATTAAAGTTTATGTAAATCAAGGGAAATCTCTATCACATATAAAGATACGACACCGGTTTATGAATTTTCTTTGCGTTTTCCTCATGAATTATTAATGACTTTTTGAAGCTATTTTAGACAACATTCACAACACAGAGCTTTTATCCTTTAAAAGGCTCCTGAACCACGGTTGTTTAACGTATTCTGCCGTATAGTAAATAACAGTTGAGCATGTTTTGAAATGTTATTCTAAAAATCATCGTCCAACTTCATAGCTGCAATGCCAAGTAATGTCACGACAAATAACAAGACAACTATAAGAAATATTCGATCCCTGCTCGTGCTGGCATCAAAGCTATTAAAATAGCATGTAGCAAGCTTTAATTTGCCGATATAAATATATATATAAGTCATATAATTGAATTTGAAAGATCAAACTTTTCCGTATCCCGTAGGAAGAATCGCGATAACCGGCGTCTTCACCACGTAGCAAATTAGTAATAGACTTTCTCTGTTCTGGTTTCAACTGAATTTCGAAGCCTAAATACTTGAAATATAAGAAAGAGTTTCCTCCAAAGCATCAACAGACATATCAGTTTTTATGAGAAATATATGGCTATCGCTATTCGATACGCGAGCAAAATTATTGTTGACATTTGAGTTACGTAATTACTTCCGTTAACGAGATTGGCCAATGGGAAGCTTTGCCGAAGATTTTTCGGTCAAGAACAAATTTGTCATAGGCATTTGGGCAGGCGTTTATTTAACGACGCCCTTTCTTCTCCCGCCCGCACTAAACGCCTGCTACGCAGGCTAGGGTTGGGGTTGGGGTTAGAGTTAGTGTTAGGGGGTTAGATGCCGCGAATTTGTCATTATGATAAATTCAAAATGTGCCACGAATTTATCATAATGATAAATTCGGACGTGTTTGAAGAATTTACTCATATAGTAAATTATCCGTTGACGGTTTCAAGTTGTTTTTAAGAACTGAAAATTCGCGCCGCGTTGTCGAATCGGGCGCGTTCGGTCTGTGTGGGCCTTTAAAAAAAGAAATACTGATTGCAGTTCAAATGTTGTGTTTTCTCACCTGGGTTTCTTGACATTGTCGAAACAGCCGACAACTGGTCATGAAAACCATGCTTTTAAAGTATAGATTTCATTAATTGGCCAAGGCAACCTAAAATTACATGTAGTATTTATCTTCAATATCACACTGCCTATAGTTGCCTCAAAATTTTACTTTGGTATCAATGAGTTGAGTCCATCAGTGGTTGAGGTTTAAGCAGGTTAAAAGCATTTCAAATTAACTTTAAATTATATCTTTTATATTTGTTCTTATATTTATACTCAATTAGATATTAAATGACAATACACTCAACATTTTAAATCAATTTTGTTGTTCTAACTCAAAATTCAACTTCACTATAGGAGTAGATTCACTCTACAGAAAGCTTCATTTAAGGTTGTGTTCCAGTTTAACAGAATAACAAATAAAAAAAAGTATTAAAAGTACAAATAACTTTAGTACCAAGTACCAACTAATAAATGTATACAGCTATTTCAATTAAGGTTGTCCCCGAGCAAAGCCGAAAAGTCGAATACGAGCGCGAACGGCTGCTGGGAATCGCTAAAAATTCATTAATTTGTTAGCGATTCCCAGCAAGCCTTTCGTGCTCGTATTCGACTTTTCCGCTTTGCTCGGGGACATCCTTAATTGAAATAGATGTATATACTTTGTAAAAGGCTTAGTAAGATGGATAATTGAAAGTTTGAAACCCTCTGGTCGATCAAGGTTAAACATAAATGATGTTACTTTTCTTTAAAAGTATAGTAGATTATATTCTGCCTCCATAATTGGATCGAAAGCGAACGAAAGAAATTGTGTTGTCATACCACTGTGGCGATAAAATATTCCCGCATGGACAACTTTGAACGAACAAAAATGACGATATTTTACGGCAATCTGGATAATTTTCGTTTTAAAAGCTTTAACATAACATCTTTTATTTATGGTGGAGCGATCAACTTGGTAAAACTTCGCAAAGTATCTCAAATTTGGCAAAATTCGCCTTGGTTCACGCTGTTCGCCATACATTTTTATATTAATTTGTATCACTCGTGATCCCCGGAAGTGATTTTCGCATATATAATTTGGCTTCACTTTTCACTTCTACATAATCGAAGCTACATCCAGTCTACTATCAGATCAGTGGGCGTAAAATAGTAAGGAATTTACAAGTGAGCTGACAGCGAGTTTTTATTGACACTCATGTCACATAATTAATATACATAATAATTCCTTATTTTAAAAATATAAATTTTCTAATAGTTGTAGCTAAAACTACCTTTCAAAACAAAACTGCCCTTGCACTTGCAGGGTTCCAGGCCAAAACAACAGTTGTCCGTGACTGGATAAACGTTTATTTGGTTTAATATTATTAAATACATTGACATTGTTTATGTCTGCCGTCATAGACGGATATTTTATTTTCCATTAGAACTACATATACAGTTACAATTTTGATAAAATATAAAGATACAATTCATACGAAGGAAGACTAACATGCCCGTCAGGGCTTTTCTATGTATAACTAAACTTAAAATTCGATATTTATTATTTATAGTCAGACCTGGAGCGAGGGGGATTCGGCGAAATATTACCTGAAGTGGAAATATCATCACTGAGGGTAATATTTCGCCTATAAATCCCCAGAGTGGAGGGTCTTTAAATGATATATTATACCTAAAATTAAAAGCTTCCAAGTTGAGAATATAAAACGTCTAAACTTGCCAGTTGCCACATACCAGCTTCGTGAATACGATTATTTATTTTTGGATTAACGCAAGTATCGTCACTTTTCTTTCGAATCGCATATTTTTTGGAATATTGATGATAACATTTTTCAAAATTTGCTTCCAAATTTTCAAAAAATCCCGATGTTTTTCAAGTTTAAAAGCTTAATGATTCATTACTCCTTGACCTTAGTATATTTTGTCGGCCATCTTGTTTGCGTAATCACCGCGCGTGGTTTACACATTGGTTTACACAATGGGTTTACACAATGGGTTAAATTACATGATAAATCCAAGATGGCGGCTCAACCGGGCAAAAAACCTATAGTTAGTAAGCTAGTATTACGAAAATGGAAATCAATGGGTTTTTTTACTTTTTTGATGGTTTTACAACAATGGAATCGCGTTCGATTAGACTTTGTTGCAAAATGAACAGGTTGTGGTGAATTATAGGTGAATTAATATGAAAATATCGGTCGCTGAAGGTTGTATCACTTGTATGAAATTGGTCATTTGGTCAGTTCGAGCGATTTGTTGCCGAAAATATTTGGTTTTGTTATCGTTTTGGTTTCTCCTTACCAACACATCTTTAAGTTAACCTTTTCAAAGCGATGGAAAACAAGGCTGGACATAGAAATCTATTAACCGCTTTATCATTGAAGTATAAATCTTGATGATGGCCTGGCCGAAATATCATGCTCGTCTGGACTGTATAATTCTATAAAATGCAAGATTGAACGACTTGGTTGTCGACATAAAATATCAAGATGTTATGATACCAACAGTTGACAGGGATATATACAGTAACTTTAACAAGTGATCGATCAATTTCTCATATAGCCCTTGAAAGTGATTGAGCTTCGTGATTTAGTTCACTGTATCCGAGTAATCACTGAATACATATGCTATCAAAACACTATAAAAGAATGGAAGAACTCGCCATTGCAGTACCGACTTGTAACAGTAAACTGTAATGTACCCTATTCCCAAACCATGATCTGGTAAGCTTTCCCTATATGTGTATGCCAATGGCCTGCAAGTATGAAGTCCAGCTGCTTAGTAAACGACATAGGTTCTCAGTGTTATAACAACATTTGTAGCCATGCATGGACTTCCTTTGGAATATGTAGACTTACTTATTTACTATCAATAAAAAATAAAATTATATTATACACACAACTGAACCAGTAAAATGGCAAATTTGCTAGCCCGTTTAATTTTAGACCTGAACAAAATGAACACCAAGAACAATTCAATGCTCAACTAAAGAGACAATACCGATATTGACTAATAAATTATCAGACTAATAAATGTTAATGTATATAAATTTCCACACGAATATTTCCATCTACAATATTCTTCAATCATTATTCAATCGAGTGTGATGCCCACAAAATCTTGCCTATAGCTACTCTGACTCTGTTATCTCTGAGAGGGACAGTTTCTTGCATGCCTAATATATTAAGCTATTTCGTTGGCTTTAATATCGCTGACGTTGGTAATAACAAGACGGCAGACATAAAATTCCTATTCGCAAGCAAATTTTTTATTTCAAAACACATGCTTTTAGCAAGTGGACAATTTAATAATAGATGCAACGCCTGAAACAGCTTCGGCTGATATATTCAGTGCTTCCACTTTCCTAAAACAAAAAATCCTTTTCTATCCTTCCTCAACCCAAAATTTCCTTCCAAAAGTATTGAAATTTCCTTCCTGATTTCCTTCGAATTTGTTACTACCATACATGTTAAAATCATGTTTTCACTATGGGAATATGATATTTTATGTCTATAGCATTATGTAGTACGTAGGGCACACAACTAGACATTTCGTAATTTTATGCACAACTATTGAAATTAATATGCGAGTTTCGAAAACTGGAATATTTTTGTTGCTATATGAAAATAATTATTATATAACATAATTATCATTATTATTCATAATTATTATAAGTATTTTCAAAACATGGCAAGCACAGAAAACCTTGAAATTAAAAAATAACAAATTGAGCCTTCGCTATTTGTTCAGCAGTCTACTTTAAAAGGTGAAAACAAACTTTAATTTTGTTTATAGAAAGCAACAATTTTAACTGTCTAATAATAGTCATGAACTGAAAAATTACGAATTTCGAAATTTCCTTCAATTTTCCACCCAGATGACTAAATTTCCATCTTATTTCCTTCCAAACTGCATTTCCTTATCTTTATTCTTCCACAAGCCTACAATTTCCTTCCAAGTGGAAGCGCTGGATATATTTTCTACTTTGCCTTGGCATAACACAGTATCGATAAATTAAAAGTTTTACTTTTAGAAAATTCGGATGACATTTTTTCTGGCAGATCTCTATTCCGTGCGCTTTCACTGTTCGTTTGTCGTTAATTGATTGTTAATCGTACCCTGGATTCCAGATTCTTCGACAGTAAATAATAAATTGAAACGTCGCGAAGGCTCTCGTTCAACGGGAAGATTCTTTCATTAAACCGCGCCAATCACAAAACAGAATTAGTAGTTTTAGTACAGAATCTGTACTAAAACCACTAATTCTGTTTTGTGATTGGCGCGGTTTAATCAAAGAATCTTCCCGTTGAACCGGAGCCTTCGCGACGTTTCAATTTATTATTTACTGTCCGAGGCTCTGGAATCCAGGGTATGTTATTCGTCGCAGCTAGCCAATTGTTTTTTTTTGCGTACGCTCCGTAATACATGGGATGCGTTCACCAGCAACAGCGATCGCCTCATTTGCAGGCTAAAATAATAGGACAATCGTAAAACCGAAATGTCAAGGGAAAGGTTTCATACATTTAAAGCATAAATTTTACATGATATTATTCGTTAAATGTTTTCGATATTAAATGACGAAAATGGCTGGAAATGCCATTTCAAAGACAAACGGTCGAAAATTCAAAATCTTCACGAGGAGACGATCTCGGATCCCCAGGCGAGCGCTACTTTCATCAAGAGCCGCCTACTTCTTTCAAAACGCCTCCTAAACTCCAAATTCTATTGGGCACCCTGTATTATTTTGTAATCGAGGGGAAAAATAAAATCCTAAAAAGTGTATGAGATCAAAAAATCATGTGATTTTTTTTGTGATCTATCAGCTACAGGCCGGGGCGTAGGAAGCATCAAAAGATTGGGGGGG